CGCGCCGCTGCGCTCGCGCACGGAGGCATTTCCCTCGGTTCTAGCTCCCAAACCGTTAACGATAGATGGTTGGTGTAAGCGAGCCGATTGGACTCGAAGTATCAAGCTTCCCAACGCTGTAAATGTTATTTCGATACGACCATCACAGCCCGAACAGAGAGCCGGCAAAGATATAGCCTAGGGTGCTCGGCCCACAGCTTGCGAGGCGGCGCGGCCTGCCCGCGCGGCCGCCAAACAGCAATGGGAGGACGATGGGGGATTTAAGCGAGTCGAATATGGGCCAAAGTTCAGGCTTTCAATCGCTCTCATTTTTTTCCCACTACGACCATTAGGTAGGTCTCGAATAGCTACCCGGCAAAGATTGCCTGGGGCTCCCGACCGTATAGTGGAGAGGCGCGCGAGGTTCAAAAGATTGGAAAACTTGGTCTCTAAGTTATGCCACTACTTTCACCTTCATTACTAATTGTGAGATGGAAAACAGTGACGTCACTTTTAAACTTCATAGGCCGAGGCTCATGGTAGAATGTACGCCCACGCCCAAGGGCCAAATCCGCGGTAAGATTAACACAATTCTAATTTTTTAAGACAAAACCGACCTCAATTAATTTTATTTTTGTATCCTTATATTCAGGAACGACTGAAGAATTATGGAACACTTTTACTTTTTAACATAAATTATCCGGTGATTTGTCGTTGGACCCTGAACTTTCAAAACGCGTTTACTCGGAACGCGCCGGTTATGAGATCGAACTCTGTTGAACGGTCGCGGCGAGATCGGGCTTTGTTGAACGGTCGCTGCGAGATCGGACTTTGTTGAACTGTCGCGGCGAGATCAGACTTTGTTGAACTGTCGCGGCGAGATCAGACTTTGTTGAACTGTCGCGGCGAGATCGTACTTTGTTCTTAGGACCCATCGAAGAGTATTAGCAGAGGGCTGATAATATCTCAATGTAAAAATACCGTAACCTTGAACCGCCCCACCCCTTCCTCTCTCCTCACATGTACACAGCCGCACAGGGCGCTACATGACCGACCTTCCCCAAAGCACGGACCGCCCCGTCAAAAGAGGCAGTGTCGCCCGACCCGACCCTCCGGAGCAATATTTCACCCGAGAAAATCAGGGTCCCCCGTTTTTTCCCCCAGCGCCAGACCGTTTACAGGCGGGCGGAGGGCAGCGCGAAAAATGCCCGTTTTAACAAAGATTTTTTGGCCTCTCTTCTTAACCCCCTTGCGGCTGTCGCTCAGGCAACCCCTTTCTGGCCCTCTCTCTTTCTTCCTTCAGGGCGGCTGAAGGTTGTGTCACCCCTCGCCCCTCTCCAAATCCTTCATTCTCATCTTTCTCCCACGTTTGTTTCCTTCCTCTGCAATCCCTCCCCGCTCCACGTTCCCCTCAGTAACCTCGGCCGGTTAATCATTCAACCGCAAAATGAAAGCTTGGAGAAATGATCCAAGGTGCCGCCTCCCTGTATGACCTGCCCCAAGGACGAGCAGGTGGTGGTAGTGCGGGGGTGCGGGATGGTGGAGGGGAGGGGGGCACCGTGTAAACCCTTCCTTCCCCTTACTCATTTCTCACACCTCTGCGAGAGGTAAGGGGAAGGGAGAAGGGGAAGGGGGAAGGGAAAAGGGTAGAGGGAGAGAGGGGACAAGGTGCCAGCAGATAAACTTTAACTCAAGAATTTCACGTGTAGTTCAGAAACGCCTCCAAGTATGAGTGAGTGTGCGTGTGAGAGAGTGTGTGGGGGGGATGTCTATCCGAAATCGAGAAATCAATAAAGCAGACGAGCATGAGGTGAAAAGTGAAGTAAAACTCGGAGCATGAAAAAGTATCAAACACACAAAGTCCTGGTCCAGCCCGTTCTGAAAATCGAGCAGTGGCGCAAGCATCACTCTTGGAACAGTGAGGCAAGCTGGTCTGTGTTTGCAACAGTACCACTGTTGGTACGATTTCACAAAGATGCAAATGGGAACATCCTCTTGGGACAAACAATCGGGCTAGACGCACCTTTGAAGGGGACAGTACCAAAGAAATTTGCGAGTTTGCTGCCTCTCAAAAGTATGCCAAACCTTGTGAAGGTGCGACCAAAGTGTTCCAAAGAGAGCAAATGTGTCACAGTTAGATTGTCAGAGTAGTCATACCGAGTCATACACACTATACGTCGCGCTCGGATGTAAAAGTCGGTCACGGACTGCTACGCGGACTACGCGGATTCTGCTCTTTGGAGGAGCTGCAGGAAGAACGAGGGGGGGGGGGGGGCGGAGGAAGAGCGGGAGGAAAGAGGGTGACTACTACTGCGGTGTGGCGTCTTTACAACCCATTAAAATAGGGGAGCACAGAATGGGAGGAATATCCCCGATTTTACTACAAATTAGGTGGCGCGTTAAATCGCCGGCATGATCCCCGCCACTGCGCCCCACGCGGGGACAACTAAAGCTTTTGCATTCAGAGCGGCGTCTTCCGCGGAGCGTGGCGGGGCGTAGCGGCCCGCAAAACAACTGCGTCAGGCGTCTCGCGTGGAAGGGATGGGGAGCGCGTGGCGAGACCGGGCCGGGCGCGGCGCAAGGGAAGGGGTGCACGGATAAACCAAGTGTGCGACCCTTCACACCGAAGTAGTGTGCAACTCCAAAGTTGTGCACTTGCAAGAGTTCGACTTCGTAGTTGTTCACTTTTCAAGTGTTCAAAACCGTACAGTAATTGTGCTCTTTCAAGGGTTCAAGACAGTATAGTTATGCACTTCCAAGTGTCAACTCCGTAGTAGCGCACTCGCCAGTGTTTAACTCCACACTTGTTGGAAAGTGATCAACATACCGAACTGCTCTGTCGGTTCGAGTGACGGCCCCGTCGGGGCGATCATAACGCTCTGCAGGAAGAGAAATAATTTCCTGCTGGTGCCGGCGGCACCAGCGAGCGTGCAGCAATAATTCGAGCAGTTAGCAGTGCGTTAGTGCACACTCAGACAGTAGCGCGGCGCGGGGCCGCCGCGGACAAAACACACCTAAAACTTGAGGAATATGAGGCGCAGTTTATTCCGGCCGTATCCTCCAGCCCCGCCGGAAGCGCCCCGCGCGGCACACCAGTCACGGCCAAAGCGGTCGCGGTTAAAGCGAAAAATGCAAAGCATAACCCCATTGGCGAGCAAGAGCTCGCGGAGCCGAACATAACCTCAAATTCAAATCGTCCCGCGCTGCGAGCTGCGCCACCGCCTTTTAGCCGCCCCGCGTGGCCGGCAGGAGGCGGGTGCTCGTAACGCGTGGCAATGAAGCTCTCATACTCACTGTGAACCGTTCTGCTCGGGGCGCAATCAAAACAATGAGAAACGAAAACAACCAGGCGGCGGGGCGGCGTTTGCTCATACGACTCACCCCTGTGTGGCTGACTGTGTCCCCTCAGTGTTGACGAAACACTGCAAACGATGTCGTGCATCTGAAAAAAAAAACAAGAAACAAAACCTGTAGCCATTATTGCAAAATTTGTAGTTCTTTTTAGAAAGTACTGTAAAAAACAAAAAACAAATAAACTGTACTTTCAGGGTCAGACCGGTACGCTTAGCCTATAAGTTCAAAAGTGTTGCATATATATTTCCTGTGAAACGAGATTTCCCGTTACATTTTATTGCGAATTTAGTCGTCAGTCGTCATCAGTTTAGGTAATAACGCAGGGGAAAGGGAGAAGGGGAAGACAAAGAGACAGATGAACGTTTTATTAAACGAGGCAGCAGATTGCACCAGATTCGATAGGTCCCGCAGCACCGTCCCCGGACGACGCATCGCTCTGCAGATTCAGTTTGACTTTAAGGGAAGGGGTTGGGTTGGGGCGAG